CCAGGTGTCCCATGGGCTGTCGGTGTGTGTCAAAACTCTCACACACACAATGATAAAAAATATAAACATTTGAAAACAAAAATATTTTCAAAATTGTCATTCATTCCTTTTTGTTTTCATACACTGAACGGAAAAATTAGGACAAATTAGTGCGGCTCGAAAGCATAGCTGTGTTCAATATGTTACGAAATGTGTTCAATAAAAAAACATATGTTTCATTGGAATTTGCAATTTGTTTAACAACAAAATTAAGAAAAAATATGCCTGCTGGCTTATTAATTGCCCTGGTTTCTACCAGAAAAAGTCTAATGATACTGGAACGTGTTAAAATAAGCATTTATGGATATTTTGAGAGAAGTTGGTCCCTTCATACACAAGGGTACCATTCCCGAAAGCCTGCATTTAGCAGCAAAGATTTCTGGCTGTTGGTGGGTTTCAGAGGGTAGTGGCAAATAATTCAAATATGAGTGTTGATCGCACAATAATGTGTAAAATATTGTGGAGAGTAATGGAAGTCCTGGAAGACAAAGTGTGTGCAAGCTGTGGACAGCTGAAGACCTGGATCCAGCCATGATGCTTTTATTTGGCATATGAGTGCAGCTAGGCAGCATTAACAAAAGAGGAAATGGTATGCAAAATAGTTGGCTTCTAGGAGACAGTGGTTATGCTTTAGAAACATTTTTGATGACGCCCTATAAACAAGTGGAGCATGGATCTTGTCAACATCGATATAATAAAGGGCACACATCTGCAAGAAACTTTATTAAAAGGATTATTGGAAATCTTAAAAGTAGATTTTTTATAGATTCTATTTTTATTTTGATCATATGGTGGTTGAGTTGCCAAATTGATCTCAAAAATGTTTTTGATAAAAGGAGCCCTTTTTTATTTTCTTTAATTTTACTGTAAAAACTGATGTAAATACTTTATTTTTTAAATAAATATTGTAAAAACACGTTAAATATTACTTCAGCGTTCTTTTTTAACTTGTACGTGCTTAGAAAAACACGTACGACCTCATTTCGTTTTCAATCCACAAGGCTATATGTGCTCGAATTATATTCCCAATATTTTTTTTTTTTTGGGAATTCGGAATTTGGGAAAATGTTTCACATTCGAGCAAACTCGAAATGCAGCACATGGGCGATTATTTTTTCGAACCAAAAACAAATATTTTTCCACAATATCTTGTTTTGTTGTCGCTGTGATTTACAAACCGCTACACGGACTTGTGTGATTTTGATATCATTTGATTCATCATGGTGTATAGATTATGTAGATATTTTTAAATTAATTTTTAGGTGTGTATATGTCATTAATATAATGAAACTATTGATGTAATCTCCTATATTTTTTTATACCCTTCACCACACTGTGGTACAGGGTATTATGTATTTGTGCATATGTTTGTAACAGCAAAAGGAAACGAGATAGACACATGGTTCCTTTTGAGAATATGCATAGAATCACTTTTTAAGTCGATTTATGCATGTCCGTCCGTCCGTCTGTCTGTCTGTTCATGTATTTTTGTGAACAAAGTACAGGTCGCATTTATGATCCGATTTGAATGAAATTTGGCATAGGTCACTTATTCGGCCCAAGGACGAACCCTATTGAAATTGGGAAAAATCGGTTCAGATTTAGATATAGCTCCCATATATATATTTAACCGATTTAATGTAAACGGTCCCTATATATCCTTCTATTTGCACGAAATTTGGTACAGCCTAATCATTTAGGTCTAGAATGATGCCTGCCAAATTTCGTGAAAATCGGTCCAGATTTAGATATAGCTCCCATATATAGTTTCGTCCGATTTCATGTAAATGGTGCCCCAAAGTCCCTATATATCCTTCGATTTGCACAAAATTTGGCATAACGTACTGAATTAAGCCTAGAGTGATGTCTGCCAAGTTTCAAGAAAATCGGTCCAGATTTAGATATAGCTCCCATATATAGTTTTGACCGATTTCATGTAAATGGTGCCCCAAAGTCCCTATATATCATTCGATTTGCACGAAATTTGGCATAACGTACTGAATTGAGCCTAGAATGATGCCTGCCAAGTTTAGTGAAAATCGGTCCAGATTTAGATATAGCTCCCATATATAGTTTCGTCCGATTTCATGTAAATAGTCCCTATATAACCTTCGATTTGCACGAAATTTGGCATAACGTACTGAATTGAGCCTAGAGTGATGTCTGCCTTATAGATTGATTTTAAGTAATTTACGCACCTGTGACAAGTGTGTTTGAAATCGCTTAATATTTGGATAGAGCTTCCATATATATTTTCGCCCGATTTCAAGTAAATTGGGCATCAAACTCCTCATGTTAGTCAGATTGACATCAAATTTTGCACAACATACAAAATTGAGCATAGAATTACGTAGTTGCGTTTTCTAGAAGTACAGGCATAGCCCAACGGATGACCTATTTATATTTGTTTGAAGTCGATTTACATTCTTTATGGACAGATCTAGGTAGATTCACATTTAGATAAATATAACATATTATATTTCATCCAATTTCATGTTAATAGTCCTGTTTAATATACCCATAGTGGTGAAGGGTATCATATAGTCGGCCCCGTCCGACTTTACTACTTTCCTTACTGGTTTCTTTTTCTCATATTTCGCGAAGATGTGCAACTTTAACGCGATTATTATAATATATTCATATTCTTAATTTACGGAGGAAGATATATATCAACGTTTTTGGTCAATATAATAAACGACGTAATTTTAAGATTTTTTTCTTATGCCCAAAATTAAAACCTCGATAACTCTTCGCGCATCAACCAAAAATTTGATCGCGAACGGTTTCGGAGTCAGAACATTTTTCTCTATATGTGTACTAAAAATCATTGATGTGCCACAAAAACAAAAAAGCTGATTTTTTGAAAATGGAATATTAAAAAATTGGCAATATTGCCCATATATATATATATTCATAAACTTAAGATTTATTGTCGATAGTATAAAAATTGCCTTAACAAATTTAATAAACAAATTAAACTATTTGGGGTAGTCCCCATATAACACATAAACAGACCCACCATTATTTGGTAGTTTGGGGATTTCGAGCACGTTTTTTAAACAAATTGGCTATAATTCAAATTTATGTAAGGTATGGCATAGTTTTAAGACCATAATACATAAAAATACGATTTCATGCTATATTTATTTTAATTACTGCCAAGAAGTGAAATATTTAATTTTTTTCTTATATTTGATTCTTTTTTATTTTCAAAATCTTGTTACACATTTATAATTAGTGGTCATAGCTCTACAAAACTTTCTCAAAAATAATTGCAATAATTCAAGTTTTATATAAATTAACTGCCGTTTTCGATCCACCCCATTACATTTTTACGTTTTTCTTGCAGAATCGTAATCAACGTCTTCGAAAACCCTTAATGTGTTTTTTATTTATTTCATAATTATGGCCAAAAAATGGAATCCTGGCCTGGCCCATAGTGCATGGTACGACCCAAGGTGTATGCATGGTACAATAATACAAAGTAGGGCAGCTTGAGGTGTATAACGCAACTATGTATGTGGTGGCTTCTTCTGCCAAATATAAAATAAATATTCACAATAAGTTGTTGTGTTTATTTAACATTTTTTCAACACATATGGTCTGTTCCAGTACTTTTTTAATAGTAAAGCTAGTAAAAGGGAACATTTCAAAATCGCTCTCAGAGTACAAAATAATTTGAAAAGTTCGGAAACGGAAATCCAGTAAATATGCCAAAATTAGATGGCAATACTTCAAAGTCAACATAACAGCCAATCAGAAGTAGGCATTCTTGTAGGCCTATTCTGTAACTTTTAACAAAATTCGATATTGTTTAATTTTCTTTTGTTATTGTAAAAACAACAAAACAAACAAACGAAATTGTTGTAAATAATCAATGTTGTTAAAAAGTTACAGAATAGGCCTGCTGTTTACCATTTTTACTCGGCCAAATTTCTCGAGTAAAAAGTTTACAAAGAGAAAGCCATTTTGTTTTGTGCTATCTTAAATTTGATTCCATATTTTACCAGTTATGTGGGTTCAGGAAAAAGTTGCAAAACTTGTAAAATTAGTAGATTCTTTTAGGTTCAGGAACGGATCTATAACTAAATCCAGGAGGGAATACCATGAAATATTTGTTTCATCCATAACAAAGTAATTACTTCTAATGCACATGTCCAGGGTTTCAGATATATTCATTCACAAATAATAGGACCAAACTTTGTTGTAATTATTGTGCTAAACGCACCTTTATATACAATGTCTGCTGACATATTTTTATCTCCTCAGGTTAAGGATTTTCACGTCGATTTTTCAGAAAATGTGTTTTAAGTTTTCAATTTACTCACACTTTATATGGGCCAACTTTATATGAATAAAGTTCCAAAATGGTGAATATCAGTCCACTCTTTTTATTTGGCTCAAAGATAAACCCTATTTTATTGATCGGTTTAGTTTTAGATATAGCTCCCATATACATGTTCGTCAGATTTCACAATCTAACAAAAAATTGGTCGATAGCAGATTTAGATATAGTCTCCATAAATATTGTTTCCGATATAATCATTTGGACTGGCGAAGTACTGCAGCATACCGATTGGCACATGTCAATTGTCCTTCAAATCGAACCGACTTTGATTTCATTTTATATATCTATATATGTGAAAAACTCACGAAATCAATGCTCAGAGAGGCATATGACAATTTCGTAGACCAATACCAAGAATCGACGTATATAACCTGTTCCGTCATACTTGTACCTTAATACTTCATGCCAATAAATGCACAGCTTTTCATTTGTTGCCTTTATTGCGACAAAATTCAAAAATATATTTTAACCTAAACGTACCCAACCACCACCATGAATAGTTGCAGGACATGCGTGAGATATGCGTTAATTCGTATATACACGTTAATCGTATAAAGTCAAGGCTGGCCCATTAGACGCAATTTTTTTCATATGCCATAAAACGAATAATAGCTTATTTATGATAGAATGTCGATGTTCCCATGTGACGTTCCTCGGTCGGAGCTTGACGCAAAGCACCGTGGCTGCGGAAGTATGCAGCCGAATGGTACAGAGCCGGTGAAGCGGGCTCGCTGACTTGGACTTCGTGGTAATTGGTGTAGGGTTCATGTTCAACTACCTCACGAACTGTTTGGAATGGGTGGTTAACAACGATTCGCCGTTTGTGGAAACTTTCACTGCCTGCGGCAGTATCTCTAGGCGCAGGCGTTGCAGCAATTACTCGAGATCCTGGTGTTACAGCATGACCAGAGTTGCCAGACGAAATTACATGACCCGATGATCCTTTATTGGTTACGTCTACGTTAGCTGTTTGATGTGTTGAGGAGGATGAAGCAGCATCAGATGACTCGTGCGAATCGCTGGGAGCCTCAACGAGGCGCATGAATTTGTCATCCATTTTTGTTCTTTTTTCACAATCAACAGTGTCCTGAGAGCTCGTCACGAATTCCCTATCGCGCATTTCTTTAGAACTGTCCGTGGTGGCCTGTTGTGTTCCCTCTTTTTTAGGTTCACCATTGTTTGTAACGGAAATTTCTAATTTTGCATTGTGCGTCGCTTGTCCGTCGTCAGACATCATGGGTCTAATGGTGGAGCTAACGGTAATGGGCTTGTTAGACATCTGCGAGCTTTCCGGAATATTAATCTCAATGTGGGTTTGTGGTTCATCCATACGGGTCGTATTCATGCTACCCTTGTTGTCGAAGCTTGAGCTCGCTTCTTTGGCGCTTTTATCTTCCACAATTAGCCTTCCAAATTTACGATTCTCACGGTCGTTGTCTAAATTTTGAGTAGGACTACGGTCATCGGGATTGTATCGCATTTGAGCATACGGAGCACTAATTTCCAAACGGCTACTGCCGATGGTTTTCTCAGCCACACCACTTGAAGGACGGTAATTGGCAGTCAATGCGTGAGAATGATAATCCGCCGATCCACTTTGTCTAAATGATACCTCAGGTATGTGTTTGCTAGTGGCATAGACAACAACCGGTCCTTTGCGGTTAAGTATGTGGTGCGGTGACACTTCTTGCACATGAGCATTTTCCTCGACATATTGGGATTGCGGCACGGCATACTTTTGCGTCAGATATATTTTATGTTGACTAGCGGGCAATGCTATGCTGTGTCCGTGCTTTATTACCGGCTCCATTCGAATGGGGGCTTCTTCCAAGCGGGCAGGCTTGGCATCTCGGGCGATATTTCCATTAGCACCGACATTAACATATTCAGCATCGAAGTTATAAGGTTCGCGATTGGACGAACTCGACTGAATGTTCGTCCGTTGTGGGGCTACATTTTGGTTGGAATAGGAACGTAAATTATATCCTGATCTCGCTTGGGAATAGGGGAATTGGTCGGATGACACCTGGCGTTGGTTTCCTTGTCCATCGGTGACAACAATTACTTCTCTGTTGCGTATTTTAGGGTCGACTTTCACGGGAGCAGGTGTTGCCGAGTAATGGTTCTCGCCATTGTACTGCTTGTTCAGATTGGCTTCGACAGCCATAGCTTTGCTTCCCTGGTCAAACGATGGAGTCGATGTGATTGATGAAGCAATGGTGGAACCAGCGATGTTAGATCGTTCAACTGGTTGCTTTGAATTGTAACCGTGGGAGTACTGGTTGCTGCCCTGATTGCCTTGGTTTGAAGAACCAGCAGCGCTGTAAAGGATGTTGCTAAAGGAAGGTGTGTTTCCATTATTCATGTATGCATTGGCCACTGCAGGATGAGGATGTCCAAGGGGTAAAATCGATTCGCCTTTTGGGATCTTTGCAACAGGCCTTTCCAATTCGACTACTACTGTGCCGGCCGGTTTGATCACCACGCGTTCTTCAATGTCGTAGAACTCCTTCTGGATGGCCGGGTGACGTACTTCATATTTCTTCGTTTTGATGGCCGGCTGGGCAATTTGAATGGTTTTGGTGACAACGGGTCGCTGATTGTTGATTGCTTCCGGTGGCAGATAACCCTGACCTCCGATCTGTGGATGGTCATAGCCATTGTTGCCGCCATAGAATTGCGTTGACTCTTGACCGCCACTCACATGGTGACCTGATGGTTGGTAATAACCTCCATAGCCACCTTGTGGTTCCTGTACTGTAGGAGGGTATTGGTTATGAAAATGACTATCTGAAGAGCTATCGCTGTGGTATTTGAAGGTATTGGGGTCATTGTAATTCGGTTTGTTGTAACTATTCGTTTGATCAAAATTTAGGCCGTCACTTCCGACAGAGGCTGGTCGTTGGTTAATATTAATATTTAGGCTAGATCCACCTGCAGTGCTTACGGATACACTGGGAGCAGCAGAATTTGGAGCACTAGATGTGACTGAGCCGGATGAGGTGGCGGGCGACGAGGGATGCTGTGTACTTTGTTGCGATTGCTGTTGATTTTCTGTTTCCGTTACTGGGGCCGGTAGTGCTACTTGACGTTCGAATTGGACAAGTTTTCCACTGCGCTGTATTGCAGCTCCCTCGTTATTCACACGTGAAGCGATGGCATGCGATGAAGGCATTGCATCTGCAGATTCATATACCTATACAAATAATTGATATTGTTTACTCGATTAAATCGGATTGTCGAACACTTGGTCCAAAACTCACCGTTTCTACCGTCGGTCCACTGTGAAAGTTCTGAATGTAACGCTCGAACTCAACGTTCTGTTTTTGCTGTTCATCCATCCTTCGGAATTGAGCATTGCGCTGGTATTCAATAGGACTGGATTGGTACATGGACTTTAATTGAAATTCTGGCTCGGCAACAAAATGTCCCGACTGTATGTAATTACGGTGGTTGGGAGAGCTAATTTCAGAGGCCTCGGTTCGATGGTTGGCAAAGTATGTTTTCTGTTCACCCTTGTTTTCGTTTTGAATTCGGGCACTTCGTCCATCGCTTTCAAACACATCTCTGGAATCTGACATCAGCTTCGAGTTATCCGCAACAATTGTTGAAGCTGCGGAACGAACTGAACTCTTTGCATTTTGCTGGGAAATCGATATGTTCACATGGGTCGCCAGACCGATATTGGCCGATGCCAAAATCAAGAGGCACAGGATTGAAAATTGCTTCATATTTACTTCTCAAATTCGAAGAGCCTTTCGATAAACTCAGACTCCAGTTCCTTGAATCCTCAGTGACAACTCAATTCACGTATTCTAAAACTGCTGCGATGCTTTGCCTTTCCAACGTCGAACTGTGGCAGATGAGTGCTTGTTGTCCCCAACAAATGTTTCGTTTTTATACAGAACGATTTCGATTTGTCTTACACCTTTGGAATGTCATTTCGTTCAATTTGAGCGATAGCACTGTCATCCATCCATACAAGCTAATATGCCGGCCGGCTAGTCAGTCGGTTGGGATGATCGACGGCATGCTATCTTTCCCAAAAAAGTACATTTATCTATCGATCTGTACTAAGCGACTAAGCATGTACATACATATGCACATCAAACATCCATAAGTATGTCCACTACAAATTGGGTGAAAAAATGCAACCGAAATATTTGTCATTTCTAAATACGAAATTCGCGATTGCATTCATGTTTGTCGTAATGTTTTTGTGTTCTCACATCTAACCTAGATTCTGATCAAAGTTATTTTCATCGTTTTCCAAAAAAAAAAATCAATTTAAGTGAAGAAGTTTCAAACCAAGCGAAATTTTAAATTGTTTAAATACATTCTTCAAATTGTATAATATTTTTGAACCAAAATATGATTATTATTTATAACCTCACTCTTGGTATATCGTTCTATGACGACTACGTGATCTGATGAAAATTAACCGTAATTTTCACATTTAATGAGTTCGATTTTCGTATTTTTTCTGTTATGGTCTAATTATTACAAGGTTGGGCAGGTACCAACTAATTACATTTTTAAAGTAACCTGTTCTATCGAATCCCAATCTCCCAATGAAAATGCCAGCGAAAAATTCACGTCAATTTTGGTCAAATGTGAAGTTTTTGTGCCCGATTTTCTTCGCCTGCAATGTAATGGGCCATCATGAATTTTTGCCACAAGGTCGTATGGTTAATAAGAAATACTATATTGAAGTTATGCGCCATTTGGGCGAAACAAACTTTGCAGAAACGCACAAAATTGTGGAAAAACAACCATGGATTTTGCACCATAATAACGCATCAGCTCACACATCAATGCATATGCGTGAGTTTTTGGCCAAAATATTGCCACGGCATATATAAAGTAATAAGGATGATTTAAAGCAAGTTCGTCTCCGATGGAGATGAGGAATGTGAGGGCATGTCTCTTTAGGAAATGTAGCAACATAGAATAATGGAAGTAAAGAACAAAATTTATATTTTGCCAATTTTAGAAATTAGAGGAGATGAAATATTGAAATTAACCCTCTATGGCCGAATTTTTACCCGTGCCAATAGAACTAGTTTCTGTGCACAAATTTAATGTAACTACCCTAAATAGGATATAAGCAAAATTTGACGTCGCTAAATCCTTGCATTCGGGAGATACGCAAGCATGTAGCCGCTTTTCTTTCCGAAAAGTAAAAGTCCAATATCAACAAAAGCAAATCCAATATCGACGAAAATTATTCTTTAATTATTCTTTAGGTTCTTTTTTACAAGACTCAACAACAATTTAGAGGGTACAATTCGTACCTTTCGAATACGAAGCGATTTAAATATTTTGGACTGCACACACAATTTGGTACTGTATATATTTTTGCACTCATCTATGTATTGAATCAGCTCATAACATATGTAATCCAAAAAATATATATTTACTTGCCGCGTATTAAATATAAGCTCTAGAACATTTTGTTGCCTGTGGACAACATTGAGCCATAAAGGGTTAAATAAAAATGAACGCAATTCTCTGGGTCAAGTAATAAGCTGGAAATTAATTTAATTCATTCTCGCAGATGTCTTCCCATTATTCGTTGTGTCTTAGACATCGTATATTTTGACATATATATTCGTCACATTCAAGGACATAAAAGTATAAAGATGGGGATTTACATAGACGAAAGAAATCTCTAAAGTGTTCCTTTGGACTTTCATTACTATTATGAGAAAATCTTAATTGAAACACATATGTATCAATCATGTACCTTGAGATGTTAAAGAGTTAGTTAGTTAGCGTTGAATATGTGTCTACATTTGGCTCTACTATTCTAAACAAGTGTGGCATGTTGCATGCATCCAGTTTTGGCCACCAGCGGCGACAATGCAACACTCCATTACTAATTTGGAATTTTAAAATGGTCGACACTTTTGGTGAAACAACATTTTTTATTTAATTGCCGGAAGGTCAACTATTCTTGACGTCAACAACTTTACATCGGACAAGCGTGTTTGAACTTGAAACAGTTGAAGCATTGGTACATTTTTGGTTGTTGTTGTTTTGTTTGACCAACTTGCACAAAATACTACTTTATAAGGGATAAGTAGTATCAGACATGTAGAAGACTTATTTTTACGGAAGAAATAATATGCAGCCTTATTCTGAACATTTCAAGATTTTAATGAACATTTTCAAGCTAATTTCGCTAATTGACCATTGGCTTTAGTCGTTCACACAGCACACTGGATAGCACTTTATATGCGATGGGATAGTTGGCACATATCGTCTTGTCTCCTTTTTTGTGCACGGGACACAGGATGCTGTGGTTCCAATCATTGGGCATGCATTCTTCTAGCCAAATTGAACAGGTGCATGCTCCTGACCAGCATCTGACCACCAGTCTTGAATGGTTCGGCTTGTAACCCATCGGAACCTGCTGCTTTATTATTCTTCAGCCGATTGATTGCTATTCTGACTTCATCTTGTCTAGGTGGTAAACACTTTATACCGTCATCTATTATTGGTTCTGGGGTATCCTCTTCACCGCTACTATTTGATACCAGAAAATGCTCCTTCCAGATCCTCAGCACGCTGTCTGTATCTGTCACCAGGTTACTTTCTTCATCTCTACAGGAGGATGTGTCTGCACCAAAGCCTTCGATATGGTGTTTTATTCGTTGGTAAAATTTTCGGACTTCATTCTGACTCCTGTACATCTCGGTTTGCTCTTTCTTCTTTTTTCTGAAAATACGTTTCTCCTCTCTCCTTTTCTCCCGATAATTTTCCAGCGCATTACGTGTTGCTGCTGTCTGCAGGGTTTCCCTATACGCTGCGTTTTTCACATCAGTACCATTACGACACTCCTGATCGTACCATGGGTTTCTTGATGGTGGGTTTTGGTACCAAAGTGTTGCTTTTGCTGCAGTTTGTACGGAGTGGGCAATTCTTTGCCACTGTGATTCTATACTATTATCGGGACAATAAGTGCTTTCGTCAAGTTGAGCGGAGTAGGCCTCTGCTATCTATTGTTTTTGCAGCTTTTCGACGTCGAGTTACCGTGTTACATTAGATCGCACCTTTGCTGCTATATTAAGACAGGTGCGAACCTTGGCTATCACAACATGGTCAATTTGATTTCCCGATTTTGATTCACTGGATTGAATCTGGAGACGAGGTCTTTTATTCTCCTCTTAACCATAAATCCGCAGCCAAATCCACGTGACAATAGAACTATTTTCTGTGCACAGATTTAACGTAACTATCCTAAATAGAATATGAACAGTAGGCCACAAAGGGTTAAAATTTGTAACAATATATTTATGTTTGGAAATCGATTTTCGTCACATACTACAATCGCATTAAATAGATTAGATGGTCGGACATCTTTCGTTATCCACAGATTCACTTCCAGATATTTTTCATAAAATTGTATGATATCTAAACATCACAATTTTGTAATTTTCGTAATATTTTAACAATTTTTTTATTTTCCAGAAATCTGCTTGTTGTAAATACAGTCAAATCCGCTTAACTGAAAAATATCGGATAACTGAAATAGATTTCCTGCGCCATTTCATTTTAGGTTAGTGGCCCACAATTTACTCCGGATATGTGAAACTCCGCATAACTGAAAATATCGGATAACTGAAAAAACTTCTGCAGTCAAATATTGCGATTTCCTTTGAAATCACTTTGAAATCATTTAATTACAGGAGGCACAACCCACCATAACAAATATTTTTCTGCAATTATTTATTATTATGGAACGTGTGTGTCAACTCATTCACAACCCCATATTGCATATTACAGCCAAGTCAGGTGTTAAATAGGCTTAAAATCGGATAGTATATGAAACATTTTCAAAGACATTGTTCGATATTTTCCGTTTTTGAAATCAATCCATCTAAGATGTATCATAAATATTATAATATATTACTGACGAGATAATATTTAAAATAGATCTTAGCATTGCAACAGTCAGACGATGGACTTCGTTACAAGCCGCACTTTTTGTAATACGCATCAAAAGATAGTTCCTAATAAAAATCACATAAGAAATAAACATGTCAACCAGTTTTAATTTCTATCTATAGGTTCGTTCCCGTACTTTTTGATAGTAAAGCTAGTAAAAGAGCGAACTATCAAAAATTACTCTCACATACAAGATTTGCACAAAAAGTAAAGGAGCGAAAAATAGTTAAAACATAAAGAAACGTCAAAATCAAAATTTTCATTTGTTAAGGACAAAAAAAGAAATTAAGGGGACCCCCCCCCCCCATTCTCGGGGTCAAAATTTTTGTTGACTTAATTCCAATCTACACTAATTTAAGAATGTCCCTGCAAAATTTCAAGTAAAAATCTCAAGAACTCTTGAAGATATAGCCGATTTATTGTGTCAGCATCAAGTGACGGCTGAAGAGCTTCTCAAACTTTAAACGCGTTTTTCTCTAAACATTTTTTTGCGAATGGCGGGCACGATAACTCAAAAACTAATAACCCAATCGATTTCAAATTTTTACACGTTTCTCTGTGAGTGTACACCTATCGTATGAACTAGGATAAAGCCAATCGGTGAAGATCTTCCTTATTTTTTAACTTGGTTTTTGGTAAAAAATCGGCGATTTTCCAAAAATTTTTTTTCAAAGATCCGCCATTTTGTTAATTTTAGAGCGAAGTCAATAATCCTAGTTCATACGAGAGCCAGACATGTACTCTTTCTAACACCGTTGGAATTTTCGGATTCCGATGTTCC